CAGCCATCACAGCTAGCCCAGCTTGTATAAAACTTTAAAAGAGAGGGAAAACATCTCGATGGCGTGTGCAAGTTCATGTCAACAAATGCTATGAACAAATTCAGCTTGCAAAAACAACTCTCATGCAGGCATCGATCGGACGAAAGAACTTTTCTGGAAGTACAATTAAGTTCCTAAGGGAAATCAAAGGCATTATCGCGCTTTGGTTTTTCTTTTTTTTCTGACGTAAGTGCTTTCATTGTGAAAACTCCTTGACGTGATGTTTGATCAATATTTTTTTTTTGTTCGCAAAATTGTTCAGCTCGGGAATAACATCCGCAGAGTGTAAGATTGTGATTCTTGAGCTTTCAATACAAAAGTATGCATCCACTTTTCTTATGTTAGTGCTTTCTTTGTGAAAACTCCTTGACGTTGTATTTGACTAAAACAAACATGTTTTGTTTTCGCAAAAAAAAAAAAAAATCTGAAGGGTTTTACATCCGAAAGGGGTAAGATTGTGATTCTTGGGTTTTCAATACATAAGTCGACGTTGAAAAACGAGTAAAAAAGCGGGGGAAATAAGAAAAGAAAAGTAGTTGAAGTTTAAAGCGGAGGTTATTAAACTGACATCGTACCTCGACAAAATCAGCTAAAACTAAAAAGGGACTCTATACTGTTTTCTTGTTTATTTGTTTTTCTTTCATTTTTTTTTCGATAGGGATGCACCCCTGTATTAAAAGTCCCATAGACACCAGTGTCAGATATGCCCTTACTTCAAAATTCTTTTTAAAATACTCAGAACTCTCACAGGTATTTAAGCTGCACAGAAAAATGACGATCGATATGTCATCTTTCATTTTCTTTGCAATTTGTGGTGGATTAACCATTGACTTTTTGAGAAATTCTCACCCAAAAAAGACGACCCCGACTTTTTCCCAAAGCGGAAAAGTAGCCATCTTGAACAACGGTCCCTCCGCAGCGTGGGAAATAGCGCCACTTTCGAGTCCATTGCACGTACAGAGTACAAAAAAGCATTCAGAAAACAAATAATTGAAACAGTTTAATTTTTTCAATGAAATTAAATATTACATTAAAGCCTAATACATTGTCTCAATCCACTTATTTTTGGGGCCGTATCATAAGTCCGACGCCTCATAGGTCCGACGCCTCACAAGTCCAAAATTTCGGACTTATGAGGCGTCGGACTAGTCTATCATGTCTATGGAATAGACCCATGGCGAATGCCATAATTAGGCAAGACCCCGCCTCTTGACCTCCTAGATTTTGACCAATCAGCGGGCGCTTTCTATATCGGGTCTTCGGTCATTCACCTGTTGTGCGTCATTATGGAACAATGGATTAAAAAGCCCTGCGTCACGCGCTCTGTATATCATACGCGATAACGCGCCCGGCTGTTGTTGCATTACAAAACACTGCATTCGAATTGACCAATCAAACGTTTAGTCCTGATTTGGAAATGAAATGACGTCATGATTTAGTAAAGTTGACTCCGATTGGCTGAGGCGCGAGATCGCATAAATCTGCATGCTTTGCTATATCAGACGTTAGACAGGAGCCTGGGCTCCTACTAGCCTCGGACTTGCGAGGCGTACAATTTATTTATTCGGCCTCATAGGTCCGACAAGTCCGACGCCTCATTATAAGTCCGACGTCGGATTTACGAGGCGTCGGACCTATGCGGCGTCGGTCTTATGGGTCTTTATTTGGTTAGGGGATGCGATTTTGTCGGACTTATGAGGCGTCGGGCTTATGAGCGGACCCCTCATTTTTACCCCATTCCATTTGGGTCCCCAGATCCACAAATACAATCAATTAAGTGAAAGGAGTACATTTTTCTTAGGCTCTCACTAGTCTGAGTATCACCCGTTATCCACGGAGCCCAGTCTCCTGTATAACGTCTGATATATCTAAGCATGCAGATTTATGCGATCCCACGCCTCAGCCAATCGTAGTCGACTTTACTAAATCGTGACGTCATTTCATTCCCAATGATGCTTAAACAGGATGCTAAGAAAGTGAAGACGTTGTTAATTTTAATTTAGGGAAGGCTCGGGCAGTGACACCAATCTCCACAAATGAAACAACACTGCCCAATGCCATCTCTTTTTACAAAAGCCTCGGTTATTCATTAAACGAGGAATCTGATTGGTCCAAGATTTGCCATTTAACTTTTCATGCTGGAACTATACAGACTTCTAAACCAAACGACACAAATTTGAATGAAGAAAAATTCTTGCTTTCTTAATACGCAACATTTCTTGCTCAATTTATTTATTGAAATTGGTTTCTTTTCACTACAAAGATTAAAATATAGAAACTAATAAAAATGAGCTCTATCTAAACTTCAGGAGTAATGTAGTTAAAAAAAAAGTTTTGATGAATCAATAATGACTGAACACTGAAAGCTAGATTTGCCAATACTCGATGCATCACAGCAAATTAAGGAAAAATGTGAAAAACAACATGGACATTTCTGATAAGTCTGTATTCCATACAAATTATAGATATTTCAACTTTTTGGCATTTCAAAGACATACAAAGGTAGAGAAAAAAATGTGCTTCTGAAAAAATATTGTGACTGTTTATCAAAATATAATCTGAATGAAATTATAAAACAAAATCACTTTAAAACCGAACATTTGTACTATACATGTAGTGACTGTTATTACAAGACTTATATTTTCTGGGTTTTTGTCTTCAAGACCAACAACGTAAGAAACTGAGGTTTCCAATTAATTATAAATTAACGTGAACACCAAACACTTCCATTTTAATGAAAAGTTTCCTAGCTAAAAAAGTAACGGGAAAAATGTAGTATCCAGACGCCACTTCTTTGGTTGTGTACAAAGTCTATGGAGAGTCGAGTGCATTGTTGTCAAATAATTTTTTTAATAAAATTGTTAAGGTTTTTCAGTCACAGATTCATGTCTTTTCAACATTTGTTGCAATGACTGACCTCCATTGAGATATGATATACATGTATGATGAAAAAGTGGCGCCAGGATGCAGAATTTTTTTCCAAAGTAAATTTTGATATCAATCTGTTGCAGATGAACATTCTTGAGAGAAACGAAAATATGTAAAAGTGAATATGATACTGGAATATGTGGCAGTGAGTTGCATTTTAATACATGATTCTCAAAAACAAAAAATATTACAACTCGTTCTGAATCAGCTTAACCAATTCGCGCCGGATGACATACCTGCAAAGGTTTTGCGTTTATTCAAAATGGATGACGCATAAGCACGCAGGGAGCGAGGCCAGAAATATCTGTCAGCGACCTACACGCATCGAGCGAGGCTGGAAATATGAGTGTGCTGCCCGAGGGTGACGGCTTCAACCCGCCTGGCTTGAGGTCGAGTGAAAAGTAATCCCGCCCCTCGTTCCATTCTTGTCAAAATAATCCCGGCGCGAACTGGTTTAAAGCCGGAGTATGAACCTTTTATTGTTCATGTTCCTGACCGGCCGAGGGCGCTATTGCTTCAGATATTTGATAGAAAATATAGCACTCTGTTCACAAATTCATTAGTATTCACAAACTTGTTAACACTTATGTGTAAATGTTGTACAGTATATAATTTTCAATCTGAAAGATACATGTACTAAACCATTTCATGCATTTAACTGCACTGACTTTTCTGTTAATGCCAAAAGCAAAGTGCCCAAATCAGTCGGAAATACTGTCAAAACTGAATATAATTTGCTGAAAATAGACTATAAGAATAATCTATAATATGCTTGCTAATGCTGACATTTCTAGAATTTCAAAAAAATAGTTGAAAAAGGTAGAACAAGTGCAAGTGCACAATAAGCTCTGGCCAAAATGCGACGCCGATGGCACATATGGAACACCACACTTTTGGTCAATTTCGGGGACATTTCCTTCTTTTGGATACCTTCCAACCACGACACAAAATGGCGTCCACCTTGTTGAAGGAAGATGTTGTACAGCGCAAGTGCAAGTGCACAATAAGCTCTGGCCCTGTTGCCATGGTTGCAAGAAGTCTTGCGTGAAATCGATCAAAATGATAGTACATGAACCCTTAAGCTGGTAGAAAATAGGTAGTGGCAATTGATACTCCCTAGGAGGATAGAAAAAAGTGCACAAAAAGCTCTGGCCATGTTGCAAGAAGTCTTGCATGAAATCGATCAAAATCATCCCTGCCAGAGTATAAAAATGCAACGCCGAAAAATGCAACTCTGATGGCACATATGGAACACCATACTTTTGGTCAATTTTGGGGACAGACAGAACGACAGACCGACAGACCACCAAGTGACATGTAAAAGCTCCTGCCAGAGCTTAATAACATTGAAATATTTCTGTCCTTTATAAGAAAACTTGTTTTGCATTTATATTGAGTGGAGACATCAGCATGCACAATCTTAGTCCGAAAATTTGGGACTCTCAGTACTGTGTATGAGAGTCCCAAAACTTAAGGTATCCATATCGTGCAAAAGTTTGTGCTGCATAATAAAACCAGTGTGAATCAAATGTGCAAGCTTCTTACTCACTACAGTTTCTTCAATAATCCCCGAAACTTCTCTCTCGCAAAGTTGCTGTTGTGAGCATTGCATCACCAAAAATTCAGCTTTTAGTTCTAATTTTGCAGAGAGTTATCGATATATCCAAACGTGAGACATCACGTTGATGTGTACTGCAATGCATTGTGCAAAAAAACTCCCTAGCTAGAACATTTTCATCGTGTAGATAAAACAGCGCCCTCTTGTTGATCTGAGTGAATGCAAAATGTTTCATTTTTTAACAGAGGGCGCTATGTTCATTTGGCCATCAATTAAAAAACAAGTAAGCTGCAAGACTTTACCTACACCTACCCAGAATACATTGGGAATCACACACACATTTCCAGAGCATGGAGAATGACGTGGATGGTTTTTGAACTGCCAAAAACTTGCCTTAAAATTGGATTTAAGGTCTAAAATTTCGCAGGTGACATGCTTGCAACTTTATCATTTTGATGTATGTGTTGTGTGGGCATTAATTAGCTTAATGGTGAGTAAACAAACGTCAGTAGTAATTTTGCACGTTTTCATGCACTCACGGTCCCAGTCTGGCACAATCTTATACATTGCATGCTTGTTATAGCTGACATTTCTAGAATTTCAAAAAAAATAGTTGAAAATGAAGAATAAAATTTAAATATTTCTGTCCTATATAAAAGAAAACTCGTTTTGCATTTATACTGAGTAAAAGACACCAGCACACAAGAGTGCTGTCCTACTTGTAAGTCGTGGTCGGGGTGCGTTAAAGTTCGTCGGCGCGATCCCGGCCGCGTTGGATCCGTCCTCTCATATCATTCATAAACTCATGAACCTGCGGAATAAAAATCAGCCGTGCGTAAATTATACTAGAAATCCTCGGCACTGCTCCAGGATGTCACTGACTCTGCCTCAACATATTGACAGTGATTGCTAGAGGATTTTGCAGGATTGAGGCAGTGGTCACCCCTCCAACGACCACATTCAAGAAATAATGGGGGATTTTGCGGGATTGAGGCTGTGTGCTATTTTTACATTGAGGCAGTTGGAGGATTTGGCAGGATTGAGGTTACATCCTAGCAAAAAAATGCCTAAGGAATAAGGGTTAAAAAGGCCCCCCCCCCAAAAAGTCTCCGGTTTCTCATATGGAGTTTGCCCCAAAAGTGGTGCGGCGATGCAGGGTTTTTTTCCCCCTTAGTTTCATTTTCTTCAAATGTCGGCTGATATGTTGCAGATGACGCTTCGATCCCCTTAAAACTCTCAAAAATATCCTTCAGGCTGGAGCTTGAGGTGACCTCAGTAAGGCCATAAGGCTTGCGAATGCTGCACCCACTTACGATCTTGACCGACACGAACGTTCTTTGGACAATTTCAATAGTCAAGAGAAATGGTAACGTCAGACCATACAGCGACATCAACATCGTGCATGTGCTGCCAGGCTGGTCATTAGTCTGCTCCCTTACATATTGCGCTATTTAAAAGCGTTTACAGGTTCCAGATACACGACCATCGCTCCCTCAGTCTGGCTTCCAGACACACCATTACAAAACCACAACACCGTCTGCAAATGGTGCCCGACTAAATTTAGTGCAAAATATATAGGGGCCAGAGAGGGCACATAAAGCTTATACACGATCGCAACCCCATCTAAAAACACATTAAAATTGTGCAGCAGCAGGATTCCAGTCAAACCAGTGAGTTTGGCGGTTTTGAGATATCATCTTAGAAAAACTTTTGAATTTTGCCAACGGGCATAGCTACTGCGATGAGCGCGCAGACCAGAAACCGGAGACTTTGTTTTGTTTTGCCTAACTTACATTGTTGCCAAGTTCCCTGGCTTCGTCCCTGAGAGTCTTGTGCTTTAAGGAGTCCACGGAGTCTCCTTGTTTCTTGGCAATGCGATACTGCTTCTCAGCATGCAGAGACTGGACCTGCACATCCTCGTATTTAATGATCTTGGCCTCGAAATGTTTCAGCTCCGCCTGCAAAAGAAGAAATGATTTTAATAAGGCCCCCTTTACACCTCGCTACCTTTGTACCTCCTATGAGCAACCAAAAATGGCCAGGATGCTCAATTGTCGCCGAAAACCCTCTTTCTATGTAACTGCTCAAGCGATCCTTGTGCTTCCCTTGAACCACCAAAACTGCAGTTTTTGGGCATTTTCATGTCGAGCTACGAGCGACCTGTGCGTCCACTGAGCCACTTACCTGCCTCCCCTGTGCTACCAACGGCAACCAACGCAATTATAGGCGACCCCCGAGCAATGTTTGGGCAACCATGGAGCCTCCTCCAACGGTGCGACCTGGCCAGTTTTATGGTCGCACAAGGGAGGCCCAAAGGTCGCAGCCCTGTGTAAAGGGGGTCTAAGGGAATAAATACGTGCTTGGCCGGTTTTAAACAGGAATCTTTTAAACCGGCAAGGGGCCTGGATGCGGACAATGGCCCAAGCCGAAGGCATGGGGCATTATCTTCGTCCAGACCCCTAGCTGGTTATAAACATACTTGATAAATATCGGCGAAGTGCATATTTAATCTAATACATATCTTTCGGTCAAAAAAGTATAAAAAAAGTAAAAACAAATTACAAATTTCCAACCGTTTTCAACAATTTTACTTCAGGTTTTGTGAAACACCCCTTTGGGTGTATATACAGGGTGAACCGAACAAATTGCAACCCTAAAACATTTGCCTTTAAAAAAAAAAGAGGATCAGTGGGTTTTTATGTTTTGGGTATCAGAAAGAGCTTCCTTCATATACTGAAACACACAGGAAAATAGCACGTCGGGTTGCTGACAAAATGCCAATTAAAGGGACACTGGGTCCTGGAACAGCCCAATTGGGCTACAAAACGCGCTTTGAACGAGATGATGTTAATCGGAAGTAACATTTAAAAGTAGGATTTAAACATCCACACAACTATCCTTTCAAAACTGGGCGTTTTTGTGTTATTCCTGTATTATGCGTGCAAGAACGAATTTCGGGGTCCACTTTTGCGACCCCATAAAATTCAAGCTGTTTGGATGCTAGTTGTGATTTCATTCGTAAAGTGTTCGCCTTTTGCGGACGTTGAAGAAACCACAGTTCACCGCTGCCCCCGAGACACACAGTGTGTAAATCACACACTGAGAACGACACGAAAAACGTATTCGTACTCCGTCATGTCCGATGTAAACAAGCGGGTTTTTTTCGTCTTTACTCGGGAACGGTAAGACATTAGGCTGGTTTCCTTTCAACCAGATGTTTGAAATAGGCCAAGTAAACAATCAAAAACATACAATTTCGGGGATTTCAGGACCTAGTGACCCTATAATTGTTTAAGTAAAAGTAGTCATTTTTCATCCTGTACACAAGTACTTTAAACAGTGAAACATTTTACCGTAAGTCTACTGTGCAATAATCCTTCATTTGTGCAATTTCTTTAGAATTGTGACACATTAATGATGCTGAAAGGGTTTAAAATAGGACAAAAATGGATCAGTTACCTGTTCAAGTGAAAACAAAAGATATTTCCATCAAATTCATTTAGTGTACTCTTGTCATATTATATGCCATGTTGTTTGTAAGGACTAGGACATGCACAAATACATGTAGGTATACAGTGAAAATAACTTATATGTGGTATTTTTTTTGTACAGGATGAAAAATGACTACTTTTACATAATTGGCATTTTCTCAGCAACCCAAAGTGCTATTTTCATGATTTTTTTTTCTTCAGTATATGAAAGAAAAAGCTCTCAGCTTTATTCTGATACCCAAAACATAAAAATCCACCAATCCCTTATTTTTTAAAAGGCAAACGTTTTAGGGTTGCAATTTTTTGGGGTCACCCCGTATACACAGTTCGAGGGGTGTGCAAAATCATATTAAAATTGGAGGATTCAGGTTTTTTAGGGATAGCAAAATTTTTTTTTAGAGGCAAATGTTTTAGGCTGTTTTTTTGGGGGGTAATCTAGTCTAGAGGCTAGACGTTGTTATTGTTTGTACGCGATAGCCCGCCCCGCACCACCGCGATAAGCGGTCGCCGCGCGAGGGCGCTATCATGACCAACCGATATCGCCCACCAACTCGTCAGAACAACGTCTAAAATACTTGCTATTATATGCAGTGCGCAGTTTTAAAAAATTCATAGTAGTTCTGGCGAAGCAAACTCTCAAATTTCTTCCAGTAGGTTAAAAGCTGCAGCAAGACTTTTGTGCAATTTCACTGGTCAGCTCTTTTGTTGTGCGTAGTATGTGTGGGACTGAAAATTAACTGTAATTGCCTGCAGAAGTCGCACATGCGCACTAATTTCCCCCATTTTTCAGGGGAGATTTTAGCAAGTGTTCTAGACGTTGTTCTGATGGGTTCGTGGGCGATATCGGTTGGTCGTGATAGCGCCCTCGCGCGGCGGCCGGTTATCGCGGCGGCGCGGCGGTTATCGCGTACAAACAATAACAACGTCTAGCCTATAGACTAGGGGTCATCCTGTATGGAATGAGCCTCGCGCGCGTTGCGCTAAAATTCTCCTTGCAATATAGAAATTGGCACGCGCGCGCTGTCTGGGGAAGTCTGGGGAAAAGAAAACTCACGCGTATAGATTCCAGCTCCTCGGCTGTGAAATTGGCAAACATGGCTTCCCTCCACAGGTTAATGACCCTCGGTTCCGTGAACTCTCCTTTGTGCTCGTCAGGGAGCATCTTGTTGGACAGGCGCTGGAAGTCGTTGGTCAGCTCGCGATGTTGGATCTTCAGGTCGAGCTCCAGGACCGAGCGTTCGTCTGGGTCAATGCGTTTCTTGTCTGCATGTGTCTCGACGCGATTCGCATCTCTGGTTCCTTGCAGAGGCCATCACAAGAGGGTGAAATATTTTCATATGGACTGGCAATGTGGTCACTAAATGCCATTTATAGCACACCTCTTGCTTGTTCTTTATCCTGGTTGGCTGAAACGCGGTCACATGTGATTCACTAATATAGGCTACTGTCTGAAACTTGCATCAGTGTGAACTAGACGTGCATTGAATTGAGACATCGCGCTTGGTAATTTTCAGAGTAGAGTGCCTGATTTGGCACTATGCAGTACCGAAGTGAATACGTCACGCGCACAAAACGCGCGTAAAAGACACTAGCGCGTGATTCAGCCCGAGAACCAACATGTGCGATTGGAGATTCAGCCTGAGTGTTGGTGATTCAGACCGGGAACCAACACGCGCGCGTACTCCATTCGTTTACACTACACTTTCTGGTTCTAAATGACGTCACACTTCGGTACTCCATACTCAAACTTTGTTTACTGATAACAGCGCCCTCCGACAAACCTTAAACTCAAAACTTTAATCTAGGGAAAGGGAAAGCGTTCCTTTAATTGTTGAATTGTTGTTGAATTGAAAACAGTTTAATAATAAAACCCTTTTCTTTTCTAATCTTTTCTTATTTTATATTTTGGACAGAGTCGAGTTATAAAACACGTTTGGACTGGCACAATCCGGTCACTAGTGCACGTCTATTCCCCTCGGACCTCTGAGTGACCAGAAGAGGGTCTTTCATGTATTTCCCTCGTCTTGTCACTCACAGTCCCTCAGGGCATATGGACGTGCACTAGTGATCTCATTGCCAGTCAATATGTGTAAACTATCCACCCTCAAACCTAATATGCAACTTTTCATTTCAACTTTCGTTATGTAAAGGCCTTAACTGAAGTGTTCAATAAGTGTACTCACGGTCGCCATAGAGCTGGCCGGAAAGCTGCTCAAACTGCTCTTTTTTTTCCTGGTGGTGGGTCAACTCTTCTTTCAGCTGTTCCAATTCCAGCTTGTTAAAATTAGGTGCTGTCACAAAAACCAAAAAATAAATACATTAACCCTAACGTACCTGAATCCATCAAAATCCACATCCCTGTTTTGGAGGATTTTGGCAAATTCAGGATACCTCCATACTGAAAAGTTGGGAGATTTTGATGGATTCAGGACAGTAAACCTAGCAGTACTGCAGGATTTTGGTGGATTCAGGATACTTCCACATTGAAACAGTTAGGGGATTTTGATGGATTCAGGACGGTAAGCCTAGCAGTACTGCAGGATTTTGATGGATTCAGGATACCTCCATATTGAGCAGTTAGACTTTGATGGATGCAGAAAGCCTAGCAGTACTGCAGGATTTTGGTGGATTCAGGATACCTCCATACTGAAAAAGTTGGGGGATTTTGATGGATTCAGGACAGTAAGCCTAGCAGTACTGCAGGATTTTGGTGGATTCAGGATACATGTACCTCCATATTGAAAAGGTAGGGGATTTTGATGGAATCAGGACAGTAAGCCTAGCAGTACTGCAGGATTTTGGTGGATTCAGGATACCTCCATAATGAGCAGTCGGGGGACTTTGATGGATTCAGAAAGCCTAGCGGTACTGCAGGATTTTGGTGGATTCAGGATACCTCCATATTGAGCAGTTGGGGACTTTGATGGATTCAGGATGTTTGCAAATGTTGTATACTTACACTGTTGTGCCTTTATCCAAAGCTTGTTCAGTTTATGGTCTTGGAATTCTTCTCCGGTCATGTCCCTTTTCTGGTTGGCTTCTTTCATCCGTAGCTGCTCCTTGCCGTCATAGGGAATAATTCCAAATTTCCGCATGATATCTGAAGGAAAGGACACATAACAAAATAACCCTAACCTTCCCAAATCCTCCATTTTGTAGGACTGAGGCTGATTTTGGAGGATGCACCGTGCCTAGGTCTTAGGCCGGACCTTAATTTGTGTTGTTTATGCTAAGCCGTGCATAAATTTAGGCCTAGATTATATTTGAAATCCTCTGCACTGCTCCAACATAGTGAAAGAGATCGCTGGAGGATTTGGCAGGATTGAGGCAGTCGTCACCCCTCCAAGGAACATATATTCAAGGAATAGCGGATTATTTTGGAGGCTGTATGCAATTTTGTTAAGGAGGCAGTTGGCATGGTTGGAGGAATTTGCAGGATGAGGTTGCATCTTAGCAATTATACAATGTACCTAGGGGAGGTAGGGATAACCCTCACCTCCCCCAACCCATCAAAACCCAACGGCATGTTTTGATGGAATCTGTCAGGATGGGTACAGTACCCTTAAACTGACAGTTAAATTGACAGTTTTTACATTGGGTTGGCACACCTCCAGAATCAAAGTCAGAAATACGCGTGTGCAGTTTCCCATACAATGTACATGTATGGTGTTGGAATTTGCCAGGATGGGTATGGTTCCTAGTAAATCATGCTATGGATTTAGGGTTAAAGAATCGAATACATTGTGGAATTTAATATAACATGGCATTTGCGGGTGAGTAAATTGTTTTAGCGAAAAATATAATAATGCAAGAAAAACAGAAAAAAATTAACCCATTTACCGTCTTGCAACCAAGAATAAAGGAACTATTGAAAGTGGTAAAAAAACTTTCCTTTTCTTGTTTTACATATTTTTTTCTCTTTTCGTATAAATTTTGAAAGTGATTAGTTTCAATTCCATTTCAACGTGTAACATTTCCATTGGCTTCAGCTGTTAAGCCGTCAGATGTGTCTTATCTGCTTTCACTTTCCACAATATTTTGTAAATTGATGTACAATAAATTGCGATGCCAGGGTAACTGGTGGGCAGTTTGTTTGAGCTTGGTTCTATTTTGGAATGCAGACAACTGCAATGCCACGTCAGTGAAGCAAATGTAAATTTACACAGAAATTTACATTGTAAATTTACATTAGAAATACACACGTCCATTTGGCCAAAAAAAAAAATTTAAGGCCCTAATACACGGATGAAACTACTTGAAAAAAAGAGATAAGAATCATTTCAAAAAGTCTCAAAACATACCTACACATGTAAGGTTTAGGCTAAAGTGGCCTAATATGTGACAGTCAGATTTTAAGTTGTACGCTTTTCTTTTGAATCTTTTTCCTTCAAATAAACCACAAAGGAAAACTGAATCTTGAAGCGTATTTTAATAATTTTTTAAAAAAGTGGATTATATAAATCATATTGTCTGCCTAAGAATGGTTGTTAGGCCTAATAAAGATATTGTGTACTACAGTTGTTGAAACAAGTATTCTGTGTCATTTTCTTTGTTGCTCCAAACAGTCAAAACACACAATCAATTAGGGTTTTTTTGACGAAAAGGTTTTCGGGTCATTGTGTTTAAATGGTGACATTCTTTGAACGGACTGAGCAATTTCAGTAATTGTTTCATCTAAAAGAAGCTCATAAAATTGGCTTTCCAGTCAGTATTATTTTGGGTGCTACATACATGTATTTTTTTTAAATACGAAATAGATTATTTTGGGGTTTGGGTTCCCCCTTTTTTTGTACTCACCCTGTATAAAAAACAGTGTATTTCATATAAATGCAGTGCATTTTATTGCAACCACAAATTGGATTCTTACAGAGTTTCACACTACTGAATTGCTTTCCTGGCGTTCCAAAAAAAGATTGGTTTCATGAGTACTCGAGGACGACAGCTGCAGCCAATCAGACTTTGCCACAGCTGACTTGGCGACTGGTTTGGACTGATGGTTATTTTTGATACTAGTTTCGTTTTCGATCATCTACATATATTGTACGTGTATTTTTTTGGCTTTTTAAAGTCATGTACATGTAGGCTCGTGTAAATTGACGATTTAAACAAAAAATTAAATAAGGGAAAAACACAATACTGGCCAACAGAGATGGAAACACTCTTCACAACTGGAAAGCATCCACGAATAAAAAAACCTTTGTTGAACACTTAAATGGAACAACTGTTATAAGAATAACCACTGTACTGTATTGTTTTCTTCATTAAAATCTGTGATTTGAATTTGAGGTGTAATATTAAATCAGTTTATTGGTCATAAAGTAAACGTTATCCACCAATCCAGAGGACACAAAAGCCATAAACAATTGTACAGTATGCTGGCGTTTAGAACTTTAGGCCTGCTTTAATAGGTGCCATGCCATGCTACTTTGGCAAACTACCGGTATTAGTTGAACCATGGAGGAATAAGAGTTGGGCCCAGCAATAGCATGGCAGTTGCTCTAAACACCGAGCTTAATTAGCCGAACTGAATGCCTCTACTAAGCACCGTCGATATCAGCCTTTTAAAAAATCAATACATCGAAAATCCTTTATCGAGAATATTCCATATATCAATTATCCCATGTGAAAGTTAAAGACCAGTTGCCTGCCGAGAAGCACTTGGTACATGTACATGTATGTTCGTTGTGATTAGTTGTTTTCGTTGATTTATCCCCAATAACATCCAGAATTTGTCGGTAAAATGGACTGAAAACATGTTTTACTTGTTTTTTTTTCCGAACAATTTATCAAAAGAAAAGGGCGCTTGCCTTTCTGAAATGTTACGTCGACATTTACAAAGGCGGTTTCGGGTAATAAAATCGATAAAATGGAATCGAGTACCCGTAGTCAACGGTCGGGTTATGGGTACCCAGGTACCCGTCACGGCCTTAAACTTAATATAGTTCGGGTTGGTCGAGTTACCATAAACATGATATAATGCACAAATGGTGAGGCCTATACATGTGCGTGGTTTTCCCATGGCGGGTGAGAAACACGCCATGGGCTTGAGCTGCTCACATGTACATGTACATGTTTGTTTGTTGGTTGGTTGGTGGGTTGGTTGGTGGACACTTTACTCGGCCATATATTGTATTCATGCAACTCGAGTATTACAGCTTTGCATTCGATGACCGGTTTTGCAAACACTGATGCGCATGCGTCTTATTTGCATATTTTTGCATTTTAGATCACGCCCCATTTGTCTCCGTTTTCTGTACTCTTGAGGAACAGGATCAGCCGAGCTGCACAGACGGTGTCGTAAGCCGTCTTCACATTTTAGGCCAAGTAAAAAACAAAACACGTTTAGCGTCCCCGCCCGCTTCCTTTTTGGCAGCCACTTGGATATTTTGATATTTCTTTTTTTTTAATAAAGCAAAAATGTTTGTTTGTTGGTTGGTTGGTGGGTGGGTTGGTTGGTGGACACTTTACTCAGCCATACATGTATATTGTATTCATGCAACTCGAGTATTACAGCTTTGCATTCGAAGACCGGTTTTGCAAACACTGATGCTCATGCGTCTAATTTGTATATTTTTGCATATTAGATCAGCCACTGTGACCTTGACCCTTGACCTTTCGGCTCCAAATGCAAAAGGCTTCTTAGGATTACCAAGGACAATCCACAAACCAAATTTGAAGTTCATATGTTAAGTATTTCTCAAGTTATCGTGCTGACAAAATTTCTATTGTTTCAGCCACTGTGACCTTGACCCTTGACCTTTCGGCCCCAAATGCAAAAGGCTTCTTAGGATTACCAAGGACAATCCACAAACCAAATTTGAAGTTCATATGTTGAGTATTTCTCAAGTTATCGCACTGACAAAATTTGTCCGGACACACCCACCCAAGTTTACGTTACATACCAAGTGTGGACTTTCCATTGCTTTCGTGTAGTTAAGAAAAACCAGTGAAAAAAAATCATTTTTCTCAAACTGTGAAAACTCTTTCAAGCCAATTTTTTTTCTATGATTCCCTTTAGTGTTTCTCTTCATTCTGCTACGGATAAACCTAACCCAAAAATGCCTCTAAACCTGTTTTCCAGAAATGGGGAAACACTGTGTGGACTTGCCCAAGTCCGCACAGTGTCTCCTCTACCTGGTTTATGTGGACATCTTTTGTTCGGAAGTCCACACAGTGAATGTAATGCCTGTACACCCACCCACACACACACACACACACACACCCACCCACCCACCCACCCACCCACCCACGGAAGGACAAGGCGGAAACAGTATGCCCCTTCGGCTTCGCCGTGGGGCATAAAAATAAATTAGTAAAAAAGCCCCGCCTCCTATTTTGTTTTCAAAAGCCCGGATGCTAAACATGTTTTTTTTTTAACTTGGCTTTAAACTTGGCACTTGGCACTTGTTGTACCACTTGGCACTTGTTGTGTCTGTCGCCTGTAGGTCTCTGGAAAAAAAAGTCACCTGTGAGTTTTCGTCTCAAGAGGGTCTCTGTGTCTCCCTCGGGGTCACCACCGTCTTGTTGGTGTTTCTTGAGCTGCAGCACCTTGACGTCGTGCTGCTGCAGCGTTTGACTCAACTCTTCCAGCTTCTTAGGTGGCAAGTTCATCTAGAGAATGAAACATGTATGTAGGCTAAATAAAAACTGAATATTCAAATTTATAATCATCAACATCAACCAAATATTCCCACAGCAGTTTTTCAATTAAATTTTTGGAAAATATAAACCGTTTGTCAAACATGTCAAATGTCACACCTGTGTCGAAATCCATGGAAAGAATCGTAATATTGTAACCTGACGCTGCAATTTCTTCATATATCATCTCAATGAAGGTCATTCGTTGCAAAAATGATGATAAGACATGAATCTGGGACTGACAAATATTTCCAATTTTCTGGACTCTCCATATAGGCTTTATACGCGAGTGCGGAAGTGGCGTCAGGTTGCAACATTTTTTCCAAATCCATAAATAAGTTATGCCTACCCCCGGCCTCAAAGCCCTTTTTTGGGGGGATGGGGGTGGGGGGGGGGGCAAATGTGCTCTTTCTTGTGATTTGCCCTGGCTCATATAAGAATGTGTGCTCATTTTTAAGAATGCGCGCTAATTCGTAAGATTATTGTTCATGCTCATTCTTAAGAATGCGCGTTCATTCTTAAAGGGAAAATACAACATTTGCAAACATCAAAAAATAAAACTACCAAATCGTTTTGAAATACCTTGCTGGACTGTTAGTGAATGACAGTGTAAAGCATCCTGTAAAATCATGGCACCTGGTATACTGTCATTTTCAAGAAAAGTGGTATTTTTGTATCAATTTCCAACGCTGATCGGCCGATCAGCGTTGGAAAAAACTGGCTTTTTTTTCAAATACTTGCCCCAATTGACCATTGCACTTGTTTGCAATCGATTACAAACCTATGAACAGGTACGAGCCAGCTAGACTGGTTCCCTGACTTTACAATTCCCCAATGTATGTAAACTGCTCTGTTTCTTCTTATATGGAGTCAGGGAACCAGACTACAGGAAAATTATTGTTTTTCTTGGTTTTTATAGCATTTTCGAACCCAAAACCTCAAAAAAGTCAGTGTAACTATATTTGCTATATATTTCCAACCCCCCAATTCCATCCATTTCTGAAAATTACAGCAAAAGCAAATGATGTAGCCTACAAATGTATATTCCCTTTAAGATTATGTGCTCATTCTTAAGAATGAGCGTTCGTTCTTAAGAATGCATACATGTACATCATTCTTGCAAAAAAGTGCACATCACATCACAGACATGGTCATGAAGGAAGTCAATTGTCTTCAGGAAATTTAGCAAATAATTAGCAGCTCACAAATGCAATGCATACGGAGGAAGTCCAGTATTTGAGACGCAATTACATACATACATGTTTTTATGGGGCTATTTTGAATGATATTGATTGGGTATCCTTCTCTTTGGGACACTTCTATTTTTTACGAGTTCTGTTCAAAACTGATTTTGCAGATGACTGTCCAGTACCAAAGTGACTTTAGCAGGTTAAAACAGCCTTGTTTCTTCAGAAAAGAGAAATTTCACCTTCAATTCGGGAAACATCCTTGTCAAAAACACCCTGCCATTTTGAATTCAGGAAAAGCAGACTTGTGCATACAGTAGCTCTGGCAACACTGTTTCCTGGCCAATCACAGGGCACTTTGATTAGCCACCAATCAAGGTGACCAATCAAAGTGCTCTGTGATTGGTCTGTCTGATGCTTGACAGGAAACAGTGTAGCCAGAGCCCTGTACAAGTCTGCTTTTCCTGAATTCAAAATGGCAGCCTCAAACAAGGCGTTTGTGACAAGGATGTTTCCCGAATTGAAGGTGAAATTTCTCTTTTTTTCCCAAAGGTATGTAAACCTAACCATCACCATTTGTATTTTCACTTCCCACTGAAGCCTACAGCCTACAGAGGCGCATAAGGCAGTTTGAAGACCATTTTGGGGGTGAAATCCGACGATTTTGATTGGGGGTACGAGTGAAAATGGTAATAAAAAACTAGAACAGCAAAGCCGCCATGGCTCGCTGTCCAAGGCAGGAAGGGAGGCTGAAGGTAGGGTTGGGGATGGGCATGATGGAAGGGGATCAGGATTCTTGTTGATGTGCCTAGGTAAAGGGGTCAGTTTTTAAATGTCAACATAAAAAGTCAACAGATTACCTAATACATGTAATAAATACATGTGTATAGTTAGCCATCACTGTATTATGGGGGAGTTTTCCATTGTTAGGGTAATTAGGACCCAGTTGTGGATTTTTGCAGCCCCAACAGTGTCTTCTGCTCCCCATACTTGTATTACCATGGGAAAACTCTTGTGTAGTCGCCACAAATGCAGAACAAGAATGGGTATACATGTACATGTAGACACAGCACCATCACCACCTCCCCCAAACCTTACCCCATCCCAAAACCTTACCCCATCCCAAAACCTTACCCCATCCCCAACCCGCCCCCTCCCCCTCCCAACCCCCTACCCACACCCATTCCATCCTCCCCTAACCATCCCCACCCTATCACCTACACATCCCAACCCCACCCAAACTCCAATCCCTATCTCCTTCCCCCTCCCCTGACCCGTACCCTCCCCTACCCCAACCCCCTACACCCACCTACCCTATCTTCCCCTATCTGTCCTTACCCACCCTACACATCCCCACCCTAGCCCTTACTCGAATGCCAATATCCCGCCCACCCCATTCCCCCACCCATACATCCCCACCTGACCCCATGCAACCCCTACTCTGATCCTATACTGCCCCCTCCCCTTATCCAACCCCTACAACAACCCATCCCTACCCATCCCCAACCCAACCCCTACTCCGATCCTATATCCCGCCCCCTGCCCAACCCCCTCCTAACCCAACCCCTACATCCATGCCCATCCTCTCCCTACCTGTCTCCCCCTACCTGTCCCCACCCCACCCCTACAAATCCCCACCCACCCAAACCCAGTATTCCAACCCCTCTCCCATTTTGTCTCCCCACCCAACCCCACCTCAATCCACCCCGCCCCACCCATCCCAGCTCCCCTACTCGTCCTACTCACACAAACCCTACCGTAACTCCAACCCTATCCCCTAACCCACCCCACCCCACCCTCCCCTACCCCATCCCTACTCCAACCCCATAAACTAAAAGATCAAACCAGAAGCTCAAGCACATCCCCAAAATGCATAGTGTACATGTTATACCAGTATACATGTACATGTAACAATTAAAAACTTGAACATTTCCTTGAATTAAAGTTCCTCAATAAAATCATAAAATTTACTGCAATGATATGAACCTAACTGAAGTTATAGAGATGATACATGACAACTGCATTTAATTTTTTTCCCCAAGTTAACTAGAATCAAAAACTTCAACATTTTTATCTGAATGCGGACGGCTGGACGTTCCGACGGACGGACGCCCGGACGGACGGACGGAAATTGGCATTACATAGGCTCGCATCTGCTTCGCAGCTCGCCAAAAATAATACAGTAATAGGGCCATTGATTTCGGACTCTACTATCGCCGACCATGTCCAAATGTTAAAAAAGCGATCCGTAGAGTCCTAGTTACTCGGACTCTGACTTTCCTACCTTTTTTTGCAGTTCGCCATCCTGCTTTTTTAATATATTTTCTGTTTGTCATCGTCGTCTTTTACCCCTCATAAATCAAAGCCCTGCCCTCTTTCCACAAAATTAAACCTAGTGATATTTAAAAAGGTGTCATTGCCAACTGTTTTTGTTAAATGTCATGAATTGAATGTGTCAAGAAATATCAGAATGTCACTTGAGTGTCAATAGGCCTACTGTCATTGGTCATTTACTTAGTCAACCGTTTTGGTGAGTCTTTAACCCATAATAGGAACGGGGTCCTCAAGGTAAGGATTACCCGTGATTGGACCGTAGAGCTACGATTGGACTCAGAGACGAAAGAGAGGGGCCCGTAATATTTAAACTTCACAATCGCCATGGAATTAAAGGGAATGTACAACATTTGCTTTGGCTGCAATTTTCAGAAATAAATAGATTTGGAGGATTAATATGTTATAGCAAATATTGTTAAACTGACTTGTTTCACGTTTTGGGCTTGTTTATGCTGGGAAAACCAAGAAAACCAATCATTTTCTTGTAGTCTGGTTCCCCGACCCCACTTAAACGTAAAGACTTTGGGGAATTGTAAGGTCAAAGAATCACTCTAGCTGGTTTGTACCCCTTCACAGTTGTGAAATCTATTGCAAAGAAAATGCGGAATAACTAAATATGAAAAAATAGGAGCAATTTTTGAAAAAAAGCCAGTTTTTTTCCAACGCTGGTCGGCCGACCAGCGTTGGAAAAATACAGTTTTTCTTGAAAATGTCAGCACACCAGGAACCACGATTTTACAGGATGCTTTCGACTGTCATTCCCTAACAATCCAGTAAGGTATTTCGTGATAATTTGATCATTTCGTTTTTTGATGTTTGCAAATGTTGTATCTTCCCTTTAAGAAGGGGCGTAGCCATATGTACTTACCCGGTTGGCCTTCTCCCAAACTTGCTGCACGATTTTCGTCCGAAACCTGTCAACTTGGTTGTCTTTAATATTGACATTTTCTGTATACTTGCTCTGAGCCTGAGCGACGCTCCAGAGACTGGCACAGGCGCAAAGTACCACAAGAGCTACACCACAAGAATTCATCGTGATCGAATGTCAGATGCGATAAAATCAGACGTTTTTATGGGTGGTTCACCACATCAGTCGCACGGCAACACCAGCAACTTTTGCACATGGCTAAACACAAGTGACCTTTGACACACACAGACGATCGATACGTACGGTGCGGTGATTGGCTGATGATCTTATTAAACTTGCCTACTAGTCTTTCATAAAAGCCAGTTATTTATTGAGTGAGGAACAGTGCCACCTCTAGAGGTCGCTGTCTTATCGCATGACGTCACCTTACTAAAAAAAAATAACAACGGGTTTTTCCCCGAAAGCTCAATAAATGGGGAAGTGGATTTTCCACTAAATGACGCAATCATTCTGTACATGATTACAACATCTTATTCCTCCATTAAATATAGACTATGTAGCCTGGCCTGATCGGTATATCAAAAAAGCCTATCAAGATTAATGGAGAAGAAATCATGGCGTTACAAGTAAGTAAAACTGGTTGAATGGTTGTACTTGAACCTAAAAACATTTTTTTTTTTTTTTGCCGTGGCTATCCATCCATGCTATCGTTACGGCAGCCGTACCGCGAGTATCAAGTGCTATTGTTACGGAACTTTCTGGTTCCCTGACGTAATACTAGTAATAGTATTCAACTTCACAATCATTGGCTGTTTGGCAATGTTTGGAGTATCAACCGAATGGTTCTTAATCATGTTAATCTTGGACTTTATTTCCCATTTTTTTTTAATCCTACAAAACCACTGATTTCAAAGTTGAAGAAAATGAAATCTGAGAATCTAGGCCAACTTAAGAATAGAAAGAACAAAATCAATTTGATTAAAAACCTAAAATTCAAGAAATACATTAATAATAAAAAAACTGAGTAGGCCTAGCGCAGCAGCAATTCGCACCAGCACCCGATTTCACGAAGCGCTGCAACGCGTCGCAACTCGAGTTGCGACGTGTAACACGTCGCAACTCGCGACGCGTCGTATCTTCCATTTCACGAAAGTTGCGATGTGTTGAACGCATCGTAAGTTCCTTGACAACGGCTTAAAACACGTCGCAAGTTGCGACGTGTATAGTGGTCATCGCAAAATAAGAAGAGTAATTTCTAAGCCAGTTTTATGCCATGAACATTACATTAACGAGATTATAATACCGAAGCAATGTGTGTAAAGTTGTAAATAGGAAATTCATTGAATAATTATGAATTAGACCGGAATATAAGAGTTGAAATTTCAAAGTAGCGCCTATACAGTCCAATGAGAGCTTGTTTTTCTTCAAAATTGCATCGCACGGCCGCCATTTTGTTTTACGTTTCAACAAATTTCGAGCTGAGATCCGACGACTCTTTGTTGAATATCAGACGACTATTTACTGTACGCTGACTAAATACATAAAACAGTCATCGAGTTGTGCTATAAATACACCTACGACGCGTCGCACTTACGACGTGTTTCGTGAAAGAATTTCCTCGTGAAATGGATCGCAGGACGCGTCGCAGCTGCGACGCATCGTAGAGATATGACGCGTCGCATCGCTGTGATGCATCATAGGTTACGAAGAGTTTGATGAAATCGGGTGCAGGGCCCTCAGACTCAGTAAATTGCTAACGTCTGTACTAGCTCTACTGAGTGGAGCGTTGAATTACGGGTACCCCTCCATACCAACGCTCCACCGATTCGCCATACTTTGGTGGCACCGTCACAGTAGCATAGTCACAAACCCACGCGAGGACAAAAAGACCCCAAAAAACCGGTAAAGAGATTACAAATGAGAGAGACAGTTATCCTGGATTGATCTATACATTCTTGACATTCCATGAGACCCCTTATATTGTTCCCAAACAGCGAACATTTTGGAAAAAAACAGCAAAATAGTCTGAAAACTTACAGCTCAATGTGTTTGCATGGAGGCTCAGTTCTTGAATTGACTGTCGAATGAGGGCGTCTGACGTGACGTCACCGTCGTTGCTCGATCGCGAAGAGAAACAAGTCGCGCTTTATCAACGACTGTTTCGTGTAATGAAACGTGCTCCGATCCGCGCCGTACGACAGTATGGGCTTTGAACACACCCAGGGTGGAGACGTCATTAATTTGTTTAGAACGTTTCAGCCGTCTCCACCTTGGGTGTGTTCAAAGCCCAATAGCCCATACTGTCGTACGGCGCGGATCAGAGCACGTATCATTACACGAAACAGTCGTTGATAAAGCGCGACTTGTTTCTCTTCGCGATCGAGCAACGACGGTGACGTCACGTCAGACGCCCTCATTCGACAGTCAATTCAAGAACTGAGCCTCCATGCAAACACATTGAGCTGTAAGTTTTCAGACTATTTTGCTGTTTTTTTCCAAAATGTTCGCTGTTTGGGAACAATATAAGGGGTCTCATGGAATGTCAAGAATGTATAGATCAATCCAGGATAACTGTCTCTCTCATTTGTAATCTCTTTACCGTTTTTTTGGGGGTCTTTTTGTCCTCGCGTGGGTTTGTGACTATGCTACTGTGACGGTGCCACCAAAGTATGGCGAATCGGTGGAGCGTTGGTATGGAGGGGTACCCGTAATTCAACGCTCCACTCAGTAGAGCTACATCTGTACCAATCAAATGCTCTATTCATCGAGCAAATAGATGTCTAGTTTTAAATGTGTTGCTTTTTATTTTTCAAAATGTAGAGCTTACAAATGTTACAATACCGGAAAACGCTCAGCGATATTGGGAGAAAGCTGACAGACACCGATATGCGGTCTATCCGTTTCATCTGCAAAGACGTCGACGGGCTCACAAAGCGCGACCTCGAGTTAGAAGAGCCGCTCGATTTCTTTGAGAAACTTGAAGAGCGGGGCGTTCTTTCGGACATCGACTTGGGGTTCCTTAAAGTTCTCTTGGACATGGTTCATCGGAAAGACTGCCTGAAACTTCTGGAAAGTTACCAGAATGGGACTGGGACTTATGCCAAGGCTGCCAGTGGTGACCACAATAGGCAGCCGGTACAAGCCATGGACCACGACAGACACCATGGGACGGGCCATAATGCATACCATGGCGTGGGGCCTGTTGAGCAAGATGGAGCCAGCTGTGAGGGGTACCAGCCGGTCACCAGAGCCAGAGACTTCTCAGATGGACACGTCCCGCAAGCAGCCGCCGGCCCACATCCTTCATTACATCAGAACAGAGGTGCACTGATAATACAACATGTTCTCTTTCTCAGGCTGTGTATTTTCGAATAATGAAGTAGGCCCATTTGACTGTTCCACTTTGCCCTCCCTGACGGATTTTTTGGACAACATTTTTTTGTCAGCAGAGTTTTCTGACATCAATCCCACAAAAGAAAACCCGCTCAACAACCATCGCAATGCGGCGTGAAAAGTATGCATAATAACGGTTAGTTTTGAAGAGCGCCCCCATTTTGAAGATGGGTACCCCCCCCCCCCCGAAGATGTGCGGTTGCCCCCCCTTGACATCAAAAGCTGTATACGCTGCTGAAATTGACAACAATTTTTTTTGTAATGGCAGGAAAAGCAGGTAGCAGAATGGCTATTTGACCAATGTGCGCTCATATTCTTCTATGGGACATACATATATCTGAATAGACTTTCTTTCTTTGTTTGAATTTTCAACAAATGTGAGCGGTCTCAAAGCATGCGAAGAGACGACAAAATACATAGAATGTGCGTAGAAATTGTGTGGTTTGTTAAAAGCCATTTACCCGGCCTAAACTTGAAAGCTTCTAGGAGGAAATAATCAAGTTCAAATTGGCGTAGCATCCGGGGGGAGAGGGGGGGGGGGTGAATTTATCCCGCCCATATATTCATGAGTGCCCTTTTTGGTCATCAGTATCATTACTGCTGTCCACAAAATGTGCTGTGTAATTTAGCTTTTTAACTTTACGAAAGCATGGTAACTCCATGTTGGTACAAAGTCTGGTCTACCAATTAGAAAAGGTCTCTGTGGTGAAGCAGTTGTTCCCCTCGCCCCCCCCCCCTTTCAAAGTGGTGTTCCTGCCAATATGCTCTTGGTACGTCTACCCACCTCCATCCCCCCCACCTCCCACCCCAGCCCCCCCCCCCCCCCCCCATCACCCCCAATCTCCTACCAAGGGACCCCACTGGAAATAAGTCGATAGACTTTCGTGGGCTATCCCGGCGAATTGCCGAATGATTATAAACAAGTAAACAGACTGCTCCACTAAAGTTGGTGGTCGCACGTTCCAGTCCCTCTAAGGCAAAACCTATCAAACATTATTAACTGGCAATGTCAGATTTGTAGAGTAAAAACTTTCCCATTTTGTTTTTTTCTTTCTCAGGCATGATTCAACAAGTACGGGAAGTCAGCATGGGAGAAGGTGAGGTTTTGCCAGTTCTTGGATTTCATTTCTTTTCAAAGGGAATTTCCTTTTACCCTAACCTCCCCAAATCCATCAAAATCCATCCCCCCATTTGGGTGGATTTTGGGGGACTTGGTCCTGCAGGCCTGGTTTGACTAAATATTGATGGAGTATGATGGACTTGGGCCTGGAGGCCTAAAGCAAAGCATGCATTGGAAGCAGTGTGATTGATGGATTTTGGCGGACTTGGTCCCCAGCATTTAGTGAGTTAGGTTGAAAGGTAGTGTACAACATTTGCAAACGTTAAAGGGAAAATACAACATTTGCAAACATCAAAAAATAAAACTATCAAATCATTTTGAAATACCTTGCTGAACTGTTAGTGAATGACAGTGTAAAGCATCCTGTAAAATCATGGCACCTGGTATACTGTCATTTTCAAGAAAAGTGGTATTTTTGTATCAATTTCCAACGCTGATCGGCCGATCAGCGTTGGAAAAAACTGGCTTTTTTTTCAAATACTGGCCCCAGTTGACCATCGCACTTGTTTGCAATCGATTACACACCTATGAACGGGTACAAGCCAGCTAGACTGGTTCCCTGACCTTACAATTCCCCAATATATGTAAACTGCTCTGTTTCTTCTTAAATGGAGTCAGGGAACCAGACTGCAGGAAAATGATTGTTTTTCTTGGTTTTTATAGCATTTTCGAACCCAAAACCTCAAAAAAGTCAGTGTAACTATATTTGCTATATATTTCCAACCCCCCCAATTCCATCCATTTCTGAAAATTACAGCAAAAGCAAATGATGTATATTCCCTTTAAAAATGAAACTATCAAATTATTATGAAAAGCATCTTGTGCAATCTTTGCACCTTGTGTGCTGTAATTTTCAAGAACGCAGTGGCTATCGTTACGGCAGCCGTAACGCATTTCCCATTTTCTATCGTTACGGTAGTACTGCAACTTTTATAAAAACATGAGAAGAAAATATAAAATTAGAAGGAAAAAAAGTGAATTTGAACGTTATGAAATTCGGACTTTATTTCCCTTAAAAAAAAAATCCTCCAAACCCTCAGGTTAGAAAAGGAAAAAAAAATGAGTGCAAAACTGAGATGCGAACCCGCAACCTCGCGGTGCAAAATCCTACCCTCTATCGACTGAGCTGTCGCACTGCTCGCTAAAACGTGGGGAAACAAATAATTATATACCTGCATGCGTATCAAAAAAGTATCGTAGAGGGCGCTAAACAACGGCTGCCGTAACGACAGCCACTTCGTTTCAAGAAAAGTTGAATTTTGTATCATTTTCCACTGATGGTCCGGCTGAACCACCGTTGGACCCCCCAAAAAACAGCTGTTTTCAAATACATGTACTCCCCCAATTGACCCAATTTAGTTTTGTTTTGCTATTGGTTACATGTATATGAGTACAAATTCATACGCATGGTGAGCGGGCGCAAGACAGCTACATGTACATGTCGTCTGGTTCCCTGACCTGACAATTCCCTGACGTCTTCAAATTGATGTGAAGTAAAACCAAGCGAAACAATCATGTTCATGTACATGTAGTCTGGTTTTCTGACCCCACTTAAGATGAAACGGTGCAATTTATAGACGTCGGGGAAAGGAATCAGTCTACCGGTAGCTGGCTTGTACCCGTTCATATATTATGTGATGCGATCAAGCCACTTGAGTCGTTTGTTGGGAATTTTCGTTTTGGAGATACAGGCCAAAATAGGGCCACTTCATCACATCACTTCATCACATCTCTTGGTGTTCCGACTTCCATAACTTTTGAACTAAAGATGGTATCAGGATGTGGTTTTTACAGCAGTAATGCTGAGATTGTGCTCTTTTCAAATCTGTAATAACTTTTTTTTACCAAGGTCATGAAGGTCAACAAATGACTCAGACTCATTTAGCTTGATCTCATCACATATGTGTAACCGATTGCAAACTAAATGAGGACTACATGTAACTTCCGTAGATATGGTAAATTGGGGGCAGTATTTGAAAAAAGCCAGTTTTCTCCAGCAACGCTTGTCGGCCCACCAGCGTTGGAAATTGATACAAAAATACAATTTTTTTTAAAATGACAGCACACCAGGTGCAATGATTTTACAGGATGCTTTAGACTTTCATTCACTAACAGTCCAGCAAGGTGCATGTACATTGTATTTCAAAATAATTTGGTACTTTTGTTTTTTGATGTTTAAAATTATCAGAAATAAATGAATTGGGAGGATTAGAATGTTATAGCAATATGTTAAACTGACTTGTTTCACATTTTGGGGTTGAAGATGCTGGAAAAACCAAGAAAACCAACCATGTTCTTCATGTTCTTGTAGTCCGGTTCCCTGACCCCACTTGAGATTAAACAGAGCAATTTGTAGACTTTGGGGAATCGTAAGGTCAGAGAATCAGTCTAGCTGGCTTGTACCCCTTGTACACAGGTGTGTAATCAAGTGCAAAGAAAATGCGGAATAACTAAATATTAACACATGTCAAAAAGGAGGAGCAGTTTTTGAAAATAAGCCAGTTTTGTCCAACGCTGGTCGGCTGACGAGCGTTGGAAAAATACAATTTTCTTGAAAATGTCAATACACCAGGAGCCACAATTTTACAGGATGCTTTAGACTGTCATTCCCTAACAATCATTTCATGATAATTTGATCATTTCATTTTTTGATCTTTGCAAGTGTTGTACATGTATCTTCCCTTTTAGGTTTTGCTTATTAAACAAAATTGAAATTTGTTTATGGTGTAAATCGAGGTCACACACGTGCAACATCATTGGTGAATCGAGGACAGAAACCAAATCGAGGACGACCTCGATAAGAAAACGTGTACAAAACCAATGAGAGCTGTTGCAAAAAAGTTAAGAGTAAAAGCAAAGGAAAAGGGAAGAGGAACAATAGAATCCTCGAATAGAATCCTTGATTTACACCATAAACAAACGTGATTGTACATATATTTGTATAGACAAGAAGCCTTGCAAAATTTTGAGCATTCCATACATGTACGTTTGTGCACAAAAACGGCTTCCTACAGCAGGCCATATGTACAAGTAGTTATTTAATATCGCTCTATGGTCATGATGGTGGTGTTACCCCCTTTTTCAGGAGAATCTTTTTGAAACTTTTATTTTGTGTCCAGATTTGTCCGACGTTTTTGAAGTCGTGGTGGAGGAGATTGGCCGAGACTGGCGACAACTGGCGCGCAAGCTGCACCTGACCGAGACGGAGATTGTGCGCATCTCCGAGGATCACATGAGGGACCTCCGGGAACAGTCCATGCAGAGCCTGTTGCTATGGAAAAAGAAGATGCGTAGCCAGGCAACTAAAGCTGCACTGGTTGAAGCGCTTAAGAAGTGCAGAATGATGTATATTGTGGATATGTTGGAGGGAAGCTATTTCCGATGATTTTTTTTTCTTTTTAATGTGTTGTAGCAACTGCTTCTGAGCAGTTGCTTGGCACAAAATCTGTATAAAATAGCTTTTGAACTAAAGTCATGATGCAGTGATCCATGGCAGCAGCATGCATTGTGGTATACATTGTCCCACGGTCTATATTTGCATATTGCCCTCCAGGGTCCGGGCATTGTGCTACTCGGGTCCGCTCATAAGTCGGACGCCTCATAGGTCTGACGCCTCATAAATCCGAAAAAATCTCATCCCCCAACCAAATAAAGGCCCATAAGTCTGACGCCCCATAGGTCCCATGCCTCATAGGTTCCGGCTCGTAGGTCCAAAAATTTAATTGACTTTTATTTCATTCCTAAGTCTGACACCTCATAAGTCCGACGCCTTGTATGTTCGACGCCCCATAGGCCCGACGCCTTTTAAGTCTGACGCCTCGTATGTCCGACGCCTCGTATGTCCGACGCCTCGTATGTCCGACGCCTCATAGGTCTGACACCTCATAAATCCGACAAAATCTCATCCCCAACCAAATAAAGGCCCATAAGTCTGACGCCCCATAGGTCCCACGCCTCATAGGTCCCGCCTCGTAGGTCCAAAAATTTAATTGACTTTTATTTCATTCCTAAGTCTGACACCTCATAAGTCCGACGCCTTGTATGTTCGACGCCCCATAGGCCCGACGCCTTTTAAGTCCGACGCCTCGTATGTCCGACGCCTCGTATGTCTGACGCCTCATAGGTCTGACGCCTCATAAATCCGACAAAATCTCATCCCCAACCAAATAAAGGCCCATAAGTCTGATGCCCCATAGGTCCCACGCCTCATAGGTCCCGCCTCGTAGGTCCAAAAATTTACTGGACTTTTATTTCATTCCTAAGTCTGACACCTCATAAGTTCGACGTCTCATAAGTCTGATGCCTCTTAAGTCCGACGCCTCGTATGTTCGACACCCCATATGTCCGACGCCTTTTAAGTCCGACGCCTCGTATGTCTGACGCCTCGTAAGTCCGACGCCTTACAAGTCCGAAGCCTCATTTGTCCGACAGCAATTATGAACGGATACAAACATCATGGTAATGTCTGAATGTTAACGCCACCAAGTGTTAGAGTTACTGTTAACACATTCACAATAAGGAATGCACCACGCCCCTTTCGGGTTTACGCCCGGCCTTGGCATTAACCCTTGCGCCAAAAAACTGCTTGCTGGCCGACTGTGATGCGGCTATCACAGTGCGCACTTGAGACAATCTCGCTCAAATCGTTGTATATTTTTTACTCATTCTTGCCGCGTCTGACAAATGAACTGTTCTTTGTAATGGTCCATACATTTTAGCTACGACGCCTCATTTGTCTGAGGTCTTGTTTTTCCAACGTCGGACTTAGGCGTCTGACTTATGAGGCGTCCGAGCTATGAGGCAGAATACATAAGTCCGATGCCTCATAAACCCGTCGCCTCATAATTCCGAAATTTCGGACTTATTATGAGGCATCGGACTTATGATGCGGCCCCGCTCTTAAAGATGTGCACGCAATTCCTGCTGCACGCCAAGGGCGGATCCAGGGGGGGGGGCCAAAGGGGGCAATGGCCCCCCCCCCCCCCCCAAAACGAAACCAATTTTTTTTTTTTTTTTTATGTGACATCGCAATAAAGGCAGGCAATGAGTACACCACCATCTTTTCCTCAAAAAAACATTGGTTAAAGTGGTCAGAAATTGCCTCAGATCGCACCACAGAGCATCTAGAATCCAAAAAAATGTTTGGACCCAAAATTTTTTTGGACCCAAATTTTTTTTGCCCCCCCCCCCAAATTGTGTTCTGGATCCGCCCTTGCTGCACGCATGTGTACAGTTCGTGTTCAGGATGCATGTTCCACTTTTTTTATTAATGCATTGCACATCAAATGGCTTGAACTACATGTAGTTGAAGATAATTTATTATCCCACTAGCACCTGTGAAACAAGTATTGCATCTGTGTCCCATTTGCCACCGGCCCCTCAGCTTCTTGGCAACTAGGACACGGATGCACTTCGTTATTCTGTGCTCTACTGTGCTCATGTGATAACTAGTAATACATGTATATGGAATTTAAAGTAACTCAAAAAGTCACATATTGACTTTTACTATTTAACGGGTGTAAAAAAGTATCTTTAAGCCTAGTTTCCATATCGACGTAAGAAACGCAAAGTGAAACACAATCAGGACCCAAACTGCAACCAGTGTTGTAGTACTCGTACTCGGTGCTCGCACTCGAGTACTAAGTAGTTTTTTTTTACTCGATCATCAAATTTAAAGTACTCGTACTCGAATAACAGTATTTGAAAAAAAAATGGTATAGCTTGACTTACCACGGCCTTATTTTATTATTGATACTTTCAGTTGGAAATGGTTGATTGTTTGCAGAGAAATCAAAGTTTCCTGATTTTTCTCTGTAGACATCCGGACAAACACACTTAACAGCTAGCCACGAGTGGGTCTCGGTCTGACTGGGCCTGGGCCAATTACGCACAATGAACCATTTGCTGTATATGGCCGTATTCGGAAATAGAAGTACTCGTACTTGGCATACAAGTACATGTACTCGTACTCGTAAGTACAAGTACTCGCACTCGGAGACCTGAGCTTGTACTCGTTCTCGGCAACCTAAGTACTCGGCAGTACTCAGTACTCGGAAAAAAGCACTCGACTACAACACTGACTGCAACGCAGACATCTGGAAACATTTCATCCGGAAGTGTCGCCGACAACTCAGACAGACGCAAACTACCTCGCAGATGATCGGCGAAGTTGAACCCGGTTCAACTTTGCCGAATGTTCCGCGTACTGTCTGTGCAGTGTGCGTAGGCATAGTGTCGATATGGAAAGCAGGGCCTAATTTCATAGAGCTGCTTAAGCATAAAATTTGCTTTAAGCACAAAATATACTGCATAGTAAAATCGGGTTACCCGCCAAAACTTCATGCGATGTACACTGCTTGTGACTGGTATTTAGCTGTTGTTTACTTAGCATAACAATCACATGGAGTTTTGGCAGGTAACCTGATTTTATTAGGCAAGACTTTTTTGTGCTGAAGCAAATTTTGTGCTTATGAGATGTGCTTATTTCCCTTTTTTTGTCTGTTGGTTGTTTATTGGTTATCTGTTGACATACAAAACTATAAGTCTTTAGCTAGTCAAGCTTATGCTTTTTGTTTATCTATGTATATTATCTATGTGTATAACAGCTCAGATATTAAAATGATAAATGTCACCCGCTCCACAAATAAAAGTATTATGTCGCCAAAAAGTGATATACATGGATGGAAAGCCCACAATGTAAGCTTTAATTTGGTAAAGCTTTCCCGTTCTGGAGATATGACATCATGGGCGTCGCCAGGATTTTTTTTTAGAGGGGCGCAACTGGCACATTTTCTCCAAATCCCTATATTTTCCAGCATTTTCCAGATTGATAATTTTTTCGAGGGTGGGCAGGGACATTTGCCCCCCCCCCCTTCACCCCATTAAATTAGCAACAATATGATTTTGCGCCTCTTTTTCTTCTTCTTTTTCTTTTTATTGTTTTCCCCCTCCCCCCCCCCCCTCCCCAACGCCCATTTATGATGTATTAGCATTACTTCCTTGGAGTTCGAATTACACATCACAGCTGAGAACATTTTGATGAAATGTTCACCCTCTCAACATTGAGCGGGCCATTAAACGATAATGCACAGGCCAGGGGGACTTAATACCCTTTTGTGGTGGTTGTCATCTCCCTTTGCAGGTCTACCAAGTAGACTTCAAGTAAGATAAGTCTAGCCTAGTAAAGCTGGTCCCAAAGAGCACAAAATGCTTCTCGATTCACAATGGCCGATCACCGGTAACTTGAAGTCTTTTCATGCGGCTACACAGTGGGCTGGATTAGCATCACGGAGTAATCCTATATATTACCTTTGGACCAAGGCGAGACTTAAGCAAGTCTAATTGAGTCGGTCAGTCAGCGAGTCAGTCAGTGAGTGAGTGGGGAGTCAGTCAGTCGGGGAGTCAGTCAGTCAGTCAGTGACGTCATTATCTTTCAAGTCCATTGGGCACAAAATAAGTGTAGTAAACGTGGAATTTGTGAATTTAGGTGCAGTAACATTGTGTATACATTTCTGCTCATTCATTTGATTTCAGAGATTCGATTGCTTCTAATGATATAGCAAAGATTGAGGTATTTGCACTGATTTGTTTTGCTTCAGAACTGATTTGAAGAGTGAAATAAAGAATTAACATGTAGAAAAATAAATTGGAAGTTGGTTTTTATTAAACATTTGCTGGTATCGTTTCTATTTAGTAATTTTTGAATTTATTTATAACTCCTGAGTGTTGCATAAAAAGCAAGGTGAACCCCTTAAAATTTATGCCAAATTTTGATGAAAATGCAATTTCAACTTTCCCAGACTATCGAATTTTCCCAGACGATCGAATTTTTTTAACCCCTTACAATTTTAAATTCCTAGAAAATTCAAATTTTCCCCAATTTTGATGAAAATGCAAGGTTAACCCCTAACAATTTTAAGCTTCCTAAAAAAGTCAAATTTTGCCAAATTTCAAAGAAAATGCAAGGTTAACCCCTAACAATTTGAAACTTCCCAAAAAAGTCATAGTTTGCCCAATTTTGATGAAAAAGCAAGGTTTACCCCTTACAATTTTGAAACTTTCCAAAAAGGTCAAATTTTGCCAAACTTCGATTCCTAGAAAATTCAAATTTTCCCCAATTTTGATGAAAATGCAAGATTAACCCCTAACAATTTTAAGCTTCCTAAAAAAGTCATATTTTGCCAAATTTCAAAGAAAATGCAAGGTTAACCCCTAACAATTTGAGACTTCCCAAAAAAGTCATAGTTTGCCCAATTTTGATGAAAAAGCAAGGTTTACCCCTTACAATTTTGAAACTTTCCAAAAAGGTCAAATTTTGCCAAACTTCGATGAAAATGCAAGGTTAACCCCTTACAATTATGGAATTTTCCGAAAAAAACCCCAAACTTTGCCTAGTTTTGATGAGAATACAAGGTTAACCTCTTCCGATTTCAAACTTTCCAGAAAAGTGAAATTTTCCCAACTTTGATGAAAATGCAAGGTATAAAGCCCTTGTGATTTCAAACTTTCAAAAAAAAGGAGAAATGTTGCCCAATTTTGATGAAAATGCAAGGTTAACCCCTTACGATTTCTGACGTTCCAGAACATTCAAATTTTGCCCAATTTTGATGAAAATGCACGGTTAACCCCTTAAGATTTCAAACATCCAAAGCAAGTCAAATTTTGAGAATTCTGAGAGCCATTGAATTGGGAGATTGAAGAGATATGGCCAGTGGCGGTTCTGGGGGGGGGGGGGGGGGGTGGGGGGGGAGGAGGCTAGGGGCGGCTTAAGCTTCCCCAAAAAAATCCATAAAAAATATACTAGCAAATTGTAAAAATGTGACGTACATGCGAATTGTCTCCCCCTAAATAAATAGT